ACTCTTTTTCCCCCATCAATTCCTTGATTACCTCTCTTTCATACCATCGTGACGTTTTCCCCTCCCCAAAATTGAATAGTTCAACCCCCTCCATCTCTCTCCCTCCATTGATATTCAATCTTTCTCACCTTCTTTTTGTTTTTCCCCATAACCTTACCCTTTTCCGTTTTCACCTTTTTTTTTCTTCTCCGACACCCTCCAAATTATCACCAAACTCTGCAATTTTTAGAATCTCCCCCAAAAGCCAGTGTCTTCAGAAAGGAGCTGTGGACAACTCCCATTTGTGTTGTTCTTTATCTTTTAATCCCCCGCCTCTTGCCAAGACCCGATTTACTTCTCTTAAACCCCCTCTATAAATATTTAAACAACCACGGTGAACACAATCCTTTTTAAGGCTACTTTTTTCGGGAAAAAATTTCCCCCTTTCCTAATACTCTAAATTTAGCCTCACTTCCTTGTAAAAAATCTTCACTGCTTTCGAAAAAACCTCCTACACCATACACTTGCAACATTGCCCAATTTTCCCCCCTTCCCCCCTGTCTTTTCGCCTTTTCCCAAAACCATAAAAGCCACAAAGACCTCTTTAGCCTTTTCTAAATACTGTTCACTTATATGTTTCACTGTAAACACTGGTCCACACACCCCCTACCTTTCCTAAAGCCTCCTTGTTCATCTGCTACCCTATTCTCCGTCTTTACTCTTAATTCTTTCAATTATAACTTACCATACACTTTACCAGGTACACTCAACAGACTTATCCCCTAAATTTTTTGCACTCTCTTTTATCCCCTTTGCCTTTATACAAAGGAACTATGCATTGCTCTCTGCCCAAACCCTAGGTACCTTACCCTCTTCCATACATTTATTAAATAATTGCACCCAAACCCCTCCAAAACTAAATCCCCACCTGCTTTTAACATTTCTATCTTTATCCATCAATCCCGGCTGCTTACCCCCTTTATTTTACCTACTGCCTCACGAACTTCCCCCAAAACTCACAAACTGGCTCTTCCTCACTCCTACAAGATGTTATTCCTCCTTGGGCCCCATACACGAAATCACAGCTTCCCTATCTTCATCAAAATTTAACAATTCCTCAAAATATTCCCTCCATCTTCCCAATACCTCTAACTTCCCCTTTAAATAACTCTCCTCTCTATTTTTAACTGACAAATCCATTTGTTCTCTAGGCTTTCTTAACTTGTTAATCTCACTCCAAAACTTTTTTTATTTTCAACAAATTTGTTGATAAATCCTCACCCACTCTCTCATTTGCTCTCTTTTTACATTGCTTCACCACTCTCTTAACCTCTCTCTTTTTCTCCATATACTCTTCCCTCCTTGCATCACTTTACTTTGTAAAAAACTTCTCATATGCTAACTTTTTCTCCCTTACTACTTTTCTTTACATCATCATTTTCCCCCAATCGCTCCTCTTCCCTCCTGCACCCACTTTCCTGTAACCACAAACTTCTGCTGAACAAATTAACACTACATTTTTAATCCTATCCCATACCTCTTCGACCCCCCTTCCTATGCTCTATTACCCCATTATCCCAAATTAGCTTTTTTATTTCCCCTTTAATGCCCCCTTTTTTTGTTTTTTAAAACCTTACCTCTCTTCCCTGTTTTGCTTCTATTCTCCTTGTACCCCAAATCTCCTTTTTTTTCTCAGTGTAGCAAAAATTTGGAAAGTGTTCTGATATATCTGTGGCCCCTCTAAAAAACATTTTAATCCTAAAGGGTCAAATCATCAGTTTTTAAAATCTCCCAAAACTTAACCCAAAAAAACTACTGTCATTTCGCCCTACATCATATTTGTTTACTTATTTATCCTCTTTTTCTTAAAATATGTATTACCTTTAAAAAAACCCCTTTTTCTTTTACAAAGGGTTCAATAAAAGGGCTCCCTTTTTATCATTTCCCCCAAAACCCCCTGGAACTAAAAATTTTACCTCCCACACCCTTTTTTAAATTTTTCTCCAAATTTTACCCTTTCGGGTTCCCCTACCAAAATTTATTTTCTCACTTGGTTCAAAGGTCCTTTACTTTTCATTAAAACATCTCCCCAAAATCTCTCTCTTCCCTCTGCACCCTCTCTTCCCCAGGTGCTTACAGGGCTTATTATGCCCCACTTCTGGGCATCCAATTTATTTTAAAAAAAAACCCAATTAATTTTTTGGAATTTACAATTCTTATTCTTTTTTCTCCTTCCTTAACTGTTTCATTTAACTTATGCTCCCCCTTCCCTTTGCTCTAACTCTTCAGATACTCCAGTTTTAAAATTCCCTTTTTTTTCCCCCCCACTGAAACTCCCCTTTACCCCCTTAAGCTTTTTTTCCGTTTTGGGCCCAGGACATCCAACTTTCTTTTCATTCAAAAATTTCAGCAATCACCTGTTTTTTTGTATCCGCCCCCAAATTTCCAGCCTTTTAAGTTTAAAGTTTTATAAAGTTTTTTTTCTTCCCCTTTTTTTTTTAAATGTATACGGGGAAAAGGGGGGTTAAACTAGCCCATTGCCCCCGGCATTTTTTAGTCGCCTCATACGAAAAGCAGGGGTTTACGGGGGAAAAAGATTTTTTTCCACTTCCCCAGGGACAAAGAAGAAAAAAAAAAGAAAAAGGGAGCTATTTAGAAAAAGGGGGAAAAACCCTGGGATGTATGTATATATATATATATGCAGGGTTGTGTGTCTGGAAGTGTGCCAAAGTGTAAGTAGGAGTAGAAAGATATCCCTGTTAATTTTGCGTGTTTATGAGACGGAAAAAAAAAACCGCCAAATCCTCCCTTTTCAGGCAAAACATTACGGTTTTTTTGTTTCACAGTCTTGGGCCCGGGAAGGTTTAGACTTCCCTGGGGGGGTTGCTGTTACCCCCCCTTTCAAAAACTACTATTATGGGGTTTGGGAGGTTCGTTAAAGGCCCATTTACGTAGAATGTAAAGGGGGTTTAAAGCGGGCTGGAACTGAGGGGAAAAATGACGAAATTTTTTAAAAGCAGGGGGGGATATAGTTTTGGGAAAGGGGTTTGGGTTTCTTTTGTTTTTAAAAAATGTATGAAAAAGGGGGGAAAGGGACCTGGGATTGGCAGGGGAGCTGTATAGTCCCTTTATATAAAGGGAAAGGGGGGCAAAAGAGTTTTTAAAAATTATTGAGGAATAAGTTTAAAGATATTTCCGGAAAAGTTAGGTGGGTTATAAATTAAAAAAATTAGAGGTAAGAACCGTTTTAGAATTGCAGACGAACAAGGAGGTTTCAGAGGGGTTTGGGGGGATGGGGTAGATCAAGTGTTTTTCTTTTAAGCATTTTTGTGAACAGTATTTTGAAAAGGTAGGGAAGTTTTTTTTTCATTTTTGGATTTAGAAAAGGCATATGATAGTGTGGGTTTGAGGAGCAATGTGGGAGATGTTTTTAAGTATATGGAAAAAAGGTTTTGGGAAGTTACTTAAAAGCTGTAAAAAGCTTTTTTGAGGATAGTGAGGCCCCAGGTTTGGGTGTGTTTGAAAAGAGGGAGAATACTTCCCGGGGAAAAAGTTGGGGCCCTTGGGCGGGGGTGTGTAATGTCCCCCCTGGTTGTTTATTTATTTATAGATGGGGGTTTTTAAAAAAAGTAAATGCTAGGGTTTTTTCGGGGGGAGGGGGGGGGATTTTTTAGGGGGGAAACAAAAATTTAATTTGGGGGGAAATTTTTACGTTACTTTTTGGGTGATGATTCTGTGCTTATGGGAAGATTCTAAAAAAAAATTGCAAAAAGGGTTGGGGATGAGTTTGAGTGGGGTTGGGAAAGGTAGAAAGTTTAAAAAGAACTAGAAAAGGGGTAAGGGGTGAGGGTAAACAAATGATTTAGATAAAGAAAAATTGGGTTTTCAAAAATTTGGGGGGGGAGGAAATATGGAAGAAGTGAATGTTTTAGATACTTGGGGGGTTTAGTGTAGCGGGAAAGGGGGTTTATGAAGGGATGGGTTAATTATTGAATTGATGAGGGAAAAAAAAGGGGTTTGGGGGTTTCGTTGGGGGTATAGGGGGAAAATCAAAAAAAAGTTTAAACTAGGAGGCAAAAAAAAGGGAATTATGAAAAATATTGTAGTACCAACAATTTTATATGGATGTGGGAAACCCTTTGGGGGGTAAAACCGCCCCGAGGAGACGGTTGGAGGGGGAGTAGATGTTGTCTTTTAAAGGGGAATGGTGGTGTAAATATTAGGGAGAAAATTCGGAGGTGGAAATTTGGGAAGGTGTTTGGGGTTAATAAAAGCATTAGTTTAGAGGGCAGGGTGAAGGGGGTTTTTGGGTGGGTTTGGTTTATTTGAAAGGAATGGTTAAAATTTGAATGACATTTGGAAAAACATATAAATCTATAGGGGAAAGGGAAAGAGGGGTTGGGGTCGTCCTCGAAAAAGGGTTGGGAAAAAAAAAGGGGGTAAGGGGTTTTTTGGGTTTAGGGGTTTGGGCTTCCCGAAGGTTTTATGGCGTGTTTTGATAGGAGTGGGTTTGGGGAAGGGAATGACTTTCCGGGACCCCGGGCGATTTTGTTGGAGTGTGAGAGGGTAAAAATTTTGTGAAGGGATTCAGGGAAAAACCGGGGGTTTTTTTCCTTTTTGTCGGGGCTTTAGCCCGGAAAGGGAAATACAATGCCTGACTTTAAAGGAGGGGTTTGGGATTTTGGGGGTTGGAGGGATATGTTGTGTATCTTATACGTAAAATGCTTCTAAAAATGTTTTTATTCTGAAGGGACCTCTGCAAAGCAGTGATTAAAGTGTGGTTTTGGTGAAAGTGTTAATGATGATTTAAAGTATTTTCTTTTGGGGATTTTTTTTTTTTTTTTTTTGGGTCACCCGGGCCCCGGTGGGAGACGAAACCGGGGCTTGTTGAAAAAAAAAAAAAATTCCACCAAAAACTCAATCATCTTAAAAACCCACTATTACCCCGATAAAATTTAAAAAAAATTTTAAAATTTTTTTTTTTTTTTAAAGCAAAAAAACAACTCTACCAACTAACCTTTTTATCTGCATTCTAAGTCTCTTTTTTTAAAATCATGACGCACTAGTGACTCTCGAGCAAGATTCAGCAAGCGAGTTAGTTGTGTGACGTTGTGTGCTGAAACTGCACGAAGTTCAGATTGGCATCTCCGTAGCTCTGACAAGATTTCGTCTTCATCATCCTAATAGATTTAAAAAATTTTTAGTAATATTTGCTGGAATCTAGATTCATGGTCCATGAAATGTGTGCAATAACCAAGCACCCGTAGAAGTGCAGGACAGTAACAATAGATGGTATGGAATATCAACATTTACTTGATAAAAACACAAGAGCATTTGGAAACTATTTATATAACATTTTATTTATGCAGTTGAATTTTTTTTTTTAAGTCTTATAGATCACACCTGGTGGTAGAACAATTCATTAGGATGAAGAGAGGAAGTCACAGAATAACCACACTTACAAAAAGAAAGTTGTTCCAGCCATACTGTTGCAACACATTCTTTACGAGAGATTTTTTTGTGTTAACACCTTACTATGAAGATATTGGAAAATTGCAATGTGCCTACTGGCTCATGCTAGGTAGGTACTGAGTTTCACTGCTGAGTGGTGATATTGCTGGTGGCGGCAGTAGCAGTGGCAGCAGTAGCAGCAGTGGTGGAGGCAGCAGCAATAGTGGCAGTTAGTAGTTCAGAAGTAGCAAAAAGTAGTGAAAGAAAGGAAGTGAAAAGTAAGAATAGTAGTAGTACTGGTAGTAATGATGGTAGTAGTAGTAATGATGGTAGTAGTAGTATTGATGGTAGCAGTAGTAGTATTACTATTATTATTATTATTATTGGTAGTAGTAGTAGTTGTATTAGTAGCAGCAGTATTAGTAACAGTAGTAGTAGAAGAATTATTATTAGCTTACTTGGCTCAAAAAAATTTATGTTGGAAGCAATGACACATGTAAGGGAAAATTACCAGTTTATGCTGCTCTACTTTCTTTTGTCAGTTTTGGGTGTTTTCAAGATAACCATAATACAGAAGAAGCTTGTGCTTAAGAAATTCCATGAAGTGGATGCATCAAAATTTACTGCATCTGGGAAAAACTGCCATAAGCTGAAGTATATGTATCAGAGAGCATAAATGTACAACCCAAATAGATAAAAGGAACAACATGTGTCTCCTGCATAGGAATTCATGTAACCATCTAATGAAATATTCTGAGTTAAAAACTTGTAACAAAAGGAGGGGGGAAAATACAGAAGGAAATGCTATGAAAGTCCTCTCATCATGATATCTGACAATCAAATGCAACAAAAGCAGACTCCAGTTGGCAATACAAAGATTAAACCAGGTTTACTGCTGAGAACTACCAACTGAACAAATGACAAATTGAAAAAATGACAAGAGGCTCTTGACTCTCGCCCAGGCAGGTCATAGCAGCTCTCCTTACTTACTCTGTCTCCCTACGATCCCCGTTGGGGAGGGGAACCTTTACCAGCGTTGTCATCGCCTTGACTTACACGATGAGCTACGCAAATCGTGTAAAGATCAAACCAAGAAATGGTACCGTTGATGATTCAACAAAGATTGCTCTTGCAACTGTTGTTCAGGGAGCACTGGAAGTAAAATTCAACACCATATTGTCATTGAAAGAAGCATTCATTGTTGTGTGTCACGATGATGCTGAAGCAGAGAAGCTACTCACTACAGAAGCCATCACTACTCTTACTACTCAAGGGTTTACTGTTACGTCATCTCCTGCCCTCAGGGCAAGGAAATCAGTATTCCTAAAAAAACTGGACAAGATTCTGACGTCTCAAACACCTGCTGAACTCAAGTCATCCATCGAGACGCAAAATACTTGGGCTACTGTTGACAGCATTACAAAAATCCAAAATGCAACGTCCATGATCAAGGTCACCTTCACCGACGTGAACATGGCTGCCACTGCACTGAACGAAGGTCTTGCTGTCTACTACTACTACATCAGCCCTACCTACATTGAAGCAGAGAGCTATCACTACATCCAACATTGCTGGAACTGTTATTCATACCATCACACCATCAAAGCATGTCCAGTAAAAGACAAAAGTTCTGCACTACATGTGGTAGTGAGGGACACGCCTTCAGTTCCTGCACCGCTGCTGCTCCAACACAACCAGCGTGCTTAAACTGCAAGAGTAATGATCACCATACACTGGCAGCAAAATGTCCTACAAGAAAGGATATTATGAAGAAAACACAAGATGCAGCAAAGAAAAAACCTACTAGCAACACTCCAACATATGCAGCAATTGCAAAAATACAAGCAGACACTACAAAATTACTTCAAGCATCTACTCAGCCCGCCTCCACCACCACCACTACCATCACTCCTCCAACATGTGACGTAACGAAGATTCACTACTGTCTACTATACGCTCATATGCAAAACATGGCTGTACCTGGATCATTTAACTCTACCATCAACGAGTTATTTGCATTAAATAACATGCCTTCATTTACATTTCCAGCATCTCCACCTTCTGAAGAAATTCTCAAATTCACCAAAAACTTAATCGCCAACTCTTCTGCAGAAGTTCCATCAACACCACCAACTAGTGACGTCAATCCAACAACGACCAATGAGAAGCCTCCACCGCCACCACCTCTCACTGAATCCAACCAATCAGAAGCCTTACCACCAGAAACATCTTCTAATTCGTCTACTGAAGTTGAAAACGAAGCAACACCACCTTCCTCTACTCCACCACCGCCTTCTCTACTTAGCTCACGTCGATTACCTGGAACACCATGGGTTAAACACAAAGGACTCATATTCTACGCCAGAGGCTGTACCCTGCAAGCATGACTCGCCTAGAACTCATCCAACATCTCCAAGACAACACTGTATCGTACCAAAGCGAAGAAAGACCATTCCCTACTTACAACCAGATACTCCACCAACTCCAAACCAACGAATACTACTACAGCTCTCCCATAAGTGTGATACAACTCTCCCGAAAACAATTTACCGCACTGATAAACGGTTTAAGACCATAACCAACTCATCCTGCTTGCTGCCTTCTGACACTCCCAGCTCCTACCGCTGCCTTCGCCATCCTCTCCTAGTGAGCCAAGCAATGACATCAGTCAAGCCTCTCTATCGACGTCTCCAGTACTTTTGTACCACGTGTCCCAAAGTGGTTGGGCCACTTGCCTTGATTCCTCCTCTTCCCCTCCTCCCCATCCTTTTCCAGTTATTTCCATCCTTCCATATCCTTCTTCCTTCCCATCTTACGACAGATCTCGTCGTCCTCGATTCGATTCGACTACCAACTACTACTACCAGCAATATCATCACTCAATGTGCCAACAAGAGTCAAAACCTACCTGTCACAGGCTAGTAAGCCAACTGCAGTGCTTCTCTAATATTTGAACATTTTCTTGTGTAAACACATAACTATGATCCTCACTTCTGCCCATATACTGCTACCACCAAGTATGATCTACTGACCTTCAAAATGCCCGTTACACAGACAATATTTTATAAATCAAGTTTCCAATTGCTGCTCTTGTGTCTTTATCAACTGGTAGTTCAGGAGAATATTGCACACACTGTCAAGGAAAGGTTACACACTAAATTAAATATCCTGAGGAACAATTACTCAAATAATGTGCAAGACATTCACTGAATTCTGTAATGGTCTAAGTTATCAATATTTCCAAAAGCCTATGAAATGGCCTATTCTTACCCTCTATCAATTGTCTTACCTCATTGCCATAATCTGTCTCCATGACTCCTTGCTCCTGGAGTTCTTTTTTAATTCGTTTCTCTAGACTGGATGCGCTGCCTAAACCTAAAGATTTGATCATGCCGGGTCGTGTGTGGCCTAATCCATCCACTCCTGTTCAAAAAATGTATATGTAGTAAATTATTATTTATCCATTAAAGCTCAAAGGACATGAATTGGGAGAAATTATGTGGCCTACAACTCCAAACCACTTGGGTTTCCATTTTGTCACTGTCATTAAATTAGTTGCAACAAAGAACTCTTACTAATTACACTGAACATTGAAAAGTTCAAGACTGGGGCCAAAATCACATTTTACACAACTTCTAATGCCCATTTGCCTGAGGAGTGACATTTGTTTATACAGTATACCCTTATCTTTCTGTTAATACAGGATAAAATTTCACACTGAATTTAACAATCACAGAGAACGAGGAATCATGCAAGTCTGGAGTTTCAGGACACATTGCTCCTTCCTTTCCATTTATGCTAAATTTACACTAGTGACAGGCATGCAAGAACATGAACAGATGTTATCTCACTCCAGATTTGTCATTAATAAAGTGTCTAAAATGTACACTTGGACTCCAGTCTGCACCCTTTCACTGCCTGGTGAATTCAGTAACAGTTCTGTTTAAAAAAATTTTATCGTCAATAGTTCATTGAAAACGTACTCCATGTCCGTGGGTCAGGAGTTCCAACTTGCCTGATTCCTAATCTATATGTTGTTACAATCAATGTACGTAATCTGAAATATCATTTTGCTTAACTATGAAGAAATGACAGTGAAAAGACCTTCTGAATATCTTCATATATGCAACAAATGTTTTTCAAATTTTATCACATACAGAATTAAAAAAATCTCACATATTTTTAAACATAGTGAAAGCCTTCAGTAGTCAGGCACATTTTATGAACAGATCTAGAAATTAAAGAAAAATTAGACAGGTCACAAGTGAGATCCAAGTCGTTACTGTCGACACAGCCAGAAATATTTACCTTTGTTCTCAATGTCAGACACTAAGACATTCTCTTCAACCAGACCAGCAATCAATCTCTGTGTAAGAGGTCCGAGTGGAGCAACATCATCACTGCATCTGTAAATGTTGTAATAATCTACCACCTCCTACATACATTTTCCAATGGGAATTTTTTTATCTGGTTTTTGAGTATCAAAGTCAATTGGTGGATGAATTTGGTAGGGTGTGCAAAAGAAGAAAATTAAAAGTGAATACAGGAAAGAGTAAGGTTATGAGGATAACAAAAATATTAGGTGATGAAAGATTGGATATCAGATTGGAGGGAGAGAGTATGGAGGAGGTGAATGTACAGTATTCAGATATTTGGGAGTGGATGTGTCAGCGGATGGGTCTATGAAGGATGAGGTGAATCATAGAATTGATGAGGGGAAAAGGGTGAGTGGTGCACTTAGGAGTCTGTGGAGACAAAGAACTTTGTCCTTGGAGGCAAAGAGGGGAATGTATGAGAATATAGTTTTACCAACACTCTTATATGGGTGTGAAGCATGGGTGATGAATGTTGCAGCGAGGAGAAGGCTGGAGGCAGGGGAGATGTCATGTCTGAGGGCAATGTGTGGTGTGAATATAATGCAGAGAATTCGTAGTTTGGAAGTTAGGAGGAGGTGCGGGATTACCAAAACTGTTGTCCAGAGGGCTGAGGAAGGGTTGTTGAGGTGGTTCGGACATGTAGAGAGAATGGAGCGAAACAGAATGACTTCAAGAGTGTATCAGTCTGTAGTGGAAGGAAGGCAGGGTAGGGGTCGGCCTAGGAAAGGTTGGAGGGAGGGGGTAAAGGAGGTTTTGTGTGCGAGGGGCTTGGACTTCCAGCAGGCGTGCGTGAGCGTGTTTGATAGGAGTGAATGGAGACGAATGGTTTTTAATACTTGACGTGCTGTTGGAGTGTGAGCAAAGTAACATTTATGAAGGGGTTCAGGGAAACTGGCAGGCCGGACTTGAGTCCTGGAGATGGGAAGTACAGTGCCTGCACTCTGAAGGAGGGGTGTTAATGTTGCAGTTTAAAAACTGTAGTGTAAAGCACCCTTCTGGCAAGACAGTGATGGAGTGAATGATGGTGAAAGTTTTTCTTTTTTGGGCCACCCTGCCTTGGTGGGAATCGGCCAGTGTGATAATAAAAAAAAAAAAAAATAAAAAATAATAATTACCAAATTCATTGAAAACCAAATCATAGGTTCCATTATAAATACTGCTATCTATATTGATTAACAATAAAAATAATGTTTGCCAATTATTACAAGGATGGCAGCATTAAAAAATGAGGATATGATCTGCATAACCATGGGCTTTCTGTATGCACAACCAAATGTTACCTATCTCTGTACAGTCAGCCATCACTAATCCGGCATCACTGGGACCTGTAGTGTGCCGGATTAGTGAGTTTACTGGATTACAGAGTGGTTAGGTTAGAATACACTAAATTAACCTATCAATAGAAACTCTACTACGTCTTCCTCATTATCATCACTGCTGTCTCCTCCACTAGCTTGCTACTGTGGATTTACAACCATCTGCACATTTTCTGAGTCAGTATAATGGTGAAATTTGAGTCAGTATAATGATGAAATTTGAAATTATGCTAGCCGAAATTATTGCCGGATTACAGATGGAACCATATAAATGATTTCCAGATTAGTAATGGCCAACCTGCACAAACATTGTATCACGTGGAAATAAATCTTCGATTGACTTTGTAAAACTAGATTACTAGCTGGAAATTTTGGGTAGGAAAAGTGAAATTATATTATTAACTGGAAATGTAAAACTAGATTACTACATGGAAATGTGACACTGAAAAGTTTCAGTACAATAGAGAGATGTCTTTTCAACAAATTTGTACCTTTGTAAGCGGAGTCTTAATAAAAACTTACCCATTCATATCAACCTCCTTCAGGAGTTTATCAGACAAGTCAGAGTTGCTAGGATCTCCCTTGATGCCTTTCTTCTTACCTTCTGCCAACTTCATTCCTTCTTTCTGTTCATCCTGGGAAATATATTACATTTAACAATGACTATGGCCATAAATCCTAAATAATTCTTATCTGAAAAAGAAATACTTAATGGTGTATCTACAGGAAAATAGCTTAACCCTTCGACTGCCACAACCCCAAATCCTGAGGTGTCTCCTGGTGTCGAAAAATTTTTGAAAAAAAAAAAAAAAAAATAAATAAATTATTTTTTCTTATGAAATAACAGATAATGTTTTCCCAATGGTAATGACACCAAAAGAACGAAATTTGATGGAAAACTTACGGAATTACACTCTCACAAAGTTAGTGACCTCGGCGATATTTACGAACTGGTGATTTCGCCCAATTTGAGCCCTATTTTTGGCTAATTCCATTATTCCAGTTGACCAAACTCATAGCTATTTTTTTAGAACTCCATTTGTTCTATCGACCGAGTACAAGAAACTGCCCATTTACCGATTTCAACTACCCAATAACGTGGTCAGAAATTTGCAATTTGGCCAATTTCATGCAAATTAAAAAAATATGCCAATTTCAAAATAGGGTCCAGAATGAACAAGACAGACATTCCTGGCTCTAAAATAACATTTTCTTTGTTCATCAGTCACGTCTCCAGGCCCCTCTGATATTACTCTTGCTTTCTATTTTCAATTTTTATTCATACAAAAAATAGAAGATTTACTGTTATGCAGACTACTGCAATAGTGTAATAATTGTATAAATTATGTCAATCCATGCATGACTACATATCAGAAAGGCTAATTGGACATTTATTGGACAATGACATCATTTATTTACTTTTGAACATCGGCAAAATTCAAACATTTCCCCTACTTTGAGGTTCTTTTCATAGTAAAACCAATAAAAATCACCTCCATTTCTATACTATGTTTTCCATTCTATCAAATGAGACCAAGAAAACGAGAATACAACCATAAATACTATATGAAAATACACCACAAAGTTGGCATTTTAACCCAAAAACACGGTCGGAGTTTTTTTCTCTCATTATGCACTGCGTGCTGCAGGATTTCTTTTATATGGTGCACACTGACCACACAGACTCATTCTCTCACATGTGGGCCTACCAGCTTTCTCCTGCTTGATTTGAAGCTACTAGAATTTTTGAGTACAGTGGACCCTCGACTAACACTATTAATCCGTTCCTGAGAGCTCATCGTTAGTCAAAATTATCGTTAGTCAAGTTAATTTTCCCCATAAGAAATAATGGAAATCAAATTAATCCGTGTAGGACACCCCAAAGTATGAAAAAAAATTGTTTTTACCACATGAAATATTAATTTTAATACACACAAACTGAAGAAGACATGCACAGTTACATGACACTTACCTTTATTGAAGATCTGGTGATGATTGATGGGATGGGAGGAGGGGAGAGTGTTGATGGTCTTAGTGTTTAGAAGGGGAATCCCCTTCCATTAGGACTTGAGGTGGCAAGTCCTTTTCCGGGGTTACTTCCCTTTAAATCTCTCAAACCAACCTTTGCTGGCCTTAAATTCACTCACATCACCACTAGTTGCTGGCATTTTTTTAATTAAATCGTCATGCAACTTCTTAGCCTTTTCACATATGATCGCTTGAGAGATGCTATCTCTTGCTATCTGTTTTTCGTTTATCCACACCAATAACAGTCTCTCAGCATCTTCGAGTACTTGCGATCTCAGTTTCGAAAACATAGCTGCACCTTTGGCAAGAACAGCTTCCTTGATTGCCGTTTTCTTGCCCACAATAGTAGCGATGGTTGATTGGGGTTTTGTGTACAGCCTGGCCAGCTCGGAGACACGAGCTCCACTTTCATACTTAGCAATGATCTTTTTCTTCATATCCATAGTAATTCTCACCCTTTTTGCTGTAGGGTTGGCACTAGAAGCTTCCTTGGGCCCATGGTGACTTATTTTGCAGGTGCAATAACTAAAAAGGTTGTGATAATATGAAATGTTCCGATTGTATGCTTGGAAGCGACCACGGTGGCTGGCTGGCTTGTAAACACTGGCCAGAAGTGGACGCGTCTCAGACAGAACGAATAGTGTTGGTCGAGTTTTTTAGCGCTAGTCGAGGCAAAATTTTTGCGATTAAAATGTATTGCTAGTCGGATTTATCGTTAATCGATGCCATCGTTGGTCAAGGGTCCACTGTATATATGCGTCAAACACAGTGGCTCCTAAGACGTATATATACGATCGAAACAGTCAAAGGGTTAAGGGGGTCATTCAGTGTGATTAGAAACGTGTAGTTACAAGAGTTGAGATATGCCTGTGGTGTCCCATCTTGTGTACAAAATGGGTATTACAAAGTACTGTAAATACTATACTCCATAGGGGAAATGGAGAAGAATCCTTTCTCCATAAGCCATCTGTGTTGTAAGAGGCAACTAAAATGCTGGGAGCAAGGGGCTAGTAACTGCTTTTCCTGTATAAATTACTAAATGTAAAAGAGAAAAAATTATAGTTTTTTCTTTATTAGGTCACCCTGCCTTGGTGGGTGACAGCCGATGTGTTAAAAAAAATACTATACAGCCTCTCCTCACTTAGTGACATACTTGTTTACCAACGCCTTGGACTTACGATGGGCTCTCTGACCAGTGTTCATACCTAAATAATGTATATTAGAGCTGATTTCCTCTATTCTGTTTATTTCAATATACAGTAAATTACTGTATAAACATTTAAAAATAGTATACCAGAAATGTTATAAATGGTGTAAAAGTGACATTAAAACAATATCAAAGATGGTTGACACAAACCCACTACCATTATAGTATGCTCCTCACTTAGCGACGAATTCATTTAACGACATGGTCTTAGGAACGAAATTCCATCGTTAAGTGAGGAGAGGCTGTACTAGTAATTCATGCAAAGAAGGCCTGAGGTGAGGCAAGCCTTACCTGTAAATCTTCTTGTGCCCAACGCAGAGTGTAGTGACGACCAAGAGGAGGAGTCTTGAAGTAGTCACTGTCCTCACTGGGGCTGTTAATCATGTCCTCTAACATCTGGTAATGATCAGTAGTATAATTTATAAATATTGTATGTATATAGTTAAAGAAATTTATTTAGAATATTTTTCCCAGAAAGCATACCTAATTATAACATGGGTCTATGGGAAAATGGGTTTTGCTTATGGTCCTTTTTTCTATGACACGTATCCTGGTCATTGAGGGAGAGTGTTACTGCAATTCTTATGTAGAAATATGTGTTGGATAAATATGGGCTTTTCTATGTAAGAGACTTGTATGAGGTGTATCCTACTGTAAAATAAATTCTTTTATTTTATTATTTTTTATTATCACACTGGCCGATTCCCACCAAGGCAGGGTGGCCCGAAAAAGAAAAACTTTCACCATCATTTACTCCATCACTGTCTTGCAGGAAGGGTGCTTTACACTACAGTTTTTAAACTGCAACATTAACACCCCTCCTTCAGAGTGCAGGCACTGTACTTCCCATCTCCAGGACTCAAGTCCGGCCTGCCGGTTTCCCTGAACCCCTTCATAAATGTTACTTAGCTCACACTCCAACAGCACATCAAGTACTAAAAACCATTTGTCTCCATTCACTCCTATCCAACACGCTCACGCATGCCTGCTGGAAGTCCAAGCCCCTCACACACAAAACCTCCTTTACCCCCTCCCTCCAACCTTTCCTAGGCCGACCCCTACCCCGCCTTCCTTCCACTACAGACTGATACACTCTTGAAGTCACTCTGTTTCGCTCCATTCTCTCTACATGTCTGAACACCTCAACAACCCTTCCTCAGCCCTCTGGACAACAGTTTGGTAATCCCACACCTCCTCCTAACTTCCAAACTACGAATTCTCTGCATTATATTCACACCACACATTGCCCTCAGACATGACATCTCCACTGCCTCCAGCCTTCTCCTCGCTGCAACATTCATCACCATGCTTCACACCCATGTAAGAGCGTTGGTAAAACTATACTCTCATACATTCCCCTCTTTGCCTCCAAGGACAAAGTTCTTTGTCTCCACAGACTCCTAAGTGCACCACTCACCCTTTTCCCCTCATCAATTCTATGATTCACCTCATCTTTCATAGACCCATCCGCTGACACGTCCACCTCCCAAATATCTGAATACATTCACCTCCTCCATACTCTCTCCCTCCAATTGATATCCAATCTTTCATCACCTAATCTTTTTGTTATCCTCATAACCTTACTCTTTCCTGTATTCACTTTTAATTTTCTTCTTTTGCACACCCTACCAAATTCATCCACCAATCTCTGCAACTTCTCTTCAGAATCTCCCAAGAGCACAGTGTCATCAGCAAAGAGCAACTGTGACAACTCCCATTTTATGTGTGATTCTTCATCTTTTAACTCCACGCCTCTTGCCAAGACCTTCGCATTTACTTCTCTTACAACCCCATCTATAAATATATTAAACAACCATGGTGACATCACACATCCTTGTCTAAGGCCTACTTTTACTGGGAAATAATTTCCCTCTTTCCTACATACTCTAACTTGAGCCTCACTATCCTCGTAAAAACTCTTCACTGCTTTCAGTAACCTACCTCCTACACTATACACCTGCAAAGTAACCTACCTCCTACACCATTATTAATTATTAGTATATAACAATTCTTGAGAATTGTTATATACTAATATGCATACACCCTGCCTCGGTGGGAGATGGCCGACTTGTTGAAAAAAAAAAAAATGCATACACAGAACATAGAGGATTATATAACAATAACAAACTGCAGTTCCAATCCTTCAAGCAATTACTATTAAACATTTGATGCTTTATGCATCAACTGTCATGACACTAGAGAATTTTTATACAACTGCCCATTTTCCCACCATTATACATGCCTATAATTGTTCTCTCCTCATTACTGGAGGTCAATATACATGTATATAGATATTTTCTTCTTCTATCTCCATGTGGGTTTTTATCTTCCACACAAGAGTACTTTCATGTACGTATTTATCTTTCACACTTGCACATCTCACCATCTGTCATTCTGTACATGTGAACACCAAAAATGTTTCATGAGTCACTACCACTTGCAAATTTAGTTTCTCTACCCCACATGAAAACAGCATCCAACATGTTTTTCATAAGAAACTGCAATCAAAAAGATACTGTACTCTTAACAAAATTATCATCAACAGTGCCACTTTCCTAATTGTCAATTAAATAAAGTGATATTATTACAAGAACATAGGAACATATACACAAGGTGCTATATCTACAATTAAAGTGGGAAATGTTAGTATAGTACTGTCATATACTCATGAGTTTCAGTTCATACAGAGTAGATAGAGAATATCACTCACCTTTATATCTTCCACAGTAATTTCTTGACAGTATTGCTCTACGTATGCCCAGAAGCGATTAGTGATATCATTCTTTGGCGGTGGTGGTTTCGGCTGCTCTGGTGGACCTAAGTCTGGCACATCAAATACTGGTTCATATTTCTGAACAGAGCATTTAACCTGTTGGGGTAATAAGAGCTTCTCTAAGGTATAGTAGCAAAGGAACAACCAGTTTATACATTACTGTACTATGATTACACCAACAGCCAGAAACTTAAAACAAGTGATTCAGTGTACAGTACTCAAATTTATGAGTAACATACTAATAGCAATGTCCTAAGCACATACTTCTCTTACCACACCTGCCATCTTCCACTGGAATGGGGTGGCCCCCATCTCCCCCCTAAAAGGGAAACAAATTCATCATCACTAGTTCAGTAGCTGTCATGCCAAAAGTGTACATACATCACAATTAGCACAACCATCTGAACTGCAATATCCCACTCCTCATTCTGAGGGTAGGCACAGGCCTTCTTACCTCCAGCTACCCGGTTTATCTGAATGCCTTCATAAATGTTAACTTTCTTACACTCCAACAGCACATCAAGCCATAAAATCCAGGCATTTCCATTTACTCGGAAATAACATGCTCACACAAGCCCCTAGCACTTGAAACCCCTTTAGCTCCTCCCTCTAACCAAACCATATTTAACAACCCTCTGAATTATACCTTAGCTAACCCCACCCTGTTTTCTAATGTCTACACTTCAAATTCTATGAAAATATTCGTACCATATACGTACTGCACTCAAACATGACACCTTCCCTGCTTTCCTGTAATGTATAAATTCTAATGTACAACACTATTTTGAATTACAAAAATTTTCACTAAATGCTAGTAAAATATACCTTAGAGGGTTTAACGCCTGGTGGAGGTCCAGGTGAGGATAAAACCTCACGAGACTTTCCACTAGAATCTTTCATCTTCTTTGATGGTCTGTCACCCTCCTCGCGCTTCATCTTTTTTCCCGGAGACACAGCCTTGAATAAAAGCAACACTAGTGAGCTCATGATCAGTTCTTGCATACTCAACATGAAATAAAATTTAGGCTGAGTAATGTGTTAAGCAGAAAATAAAATGCTGAAGTGAATAAAGGGTGCAGAGGACATGAATGTGAACAGGAGTAAATGCCAATGACAGATAACAGAACACTTGTGATACATCGTATAGTGAAAGTATTTTACGAAAATAATAAGCTACTGCTGCTGTTCCTTTCTACATAAATGAAGTTAGGAGAGTAAGGCAGAATACATGACAAACAAAGACAATTACAGTGAGGAAAGAAACATCAAGATGGGAAAAAATGACAAGAGGGATCCTTCTAAGGTTGATCTTTGGACCAACAATTTTCCTGATGCAAAGTATATTAACAGTCTATCAAAGATGGTTGTGTCCTTTATACTTGTGTTTGCATATGATATGAGGTTAATGAGGATGATATAAACAAAAGATAAATGCAAAACAACACTTAAGTCCATATTTCAAAATGTGACTTAAAAAAAAAAAAAGGGGGAGGGGGTCTGAGTGGGTGGATGCTGTGGGTGAGAGGTGAAGGGTGAAAGGTTAGGAGACAGGAGCGGGGGAAAAGAAATATGAATACAGAATACTACTTTAGAGTTTATAATGAGGTTTTCTGCTTTAGCACGATGAACTACCCCAGTATTACAGAACTACAGTACTGTACTGCCAATTCTCCTATCTAGGGAGAGGGGGGAAGGAGACAATGACAATAACAAATTTAAAAAAAAAGACAAAAATTATTGGGGATACAAAATACCAAACAAAAAAGCCCTTTAACAAAATATTACAACATAACACTCACAGGCTTTGGAACGTATTTCCCTTTTTCTAATTGGTAAATAATAGATAGCTGGTTGTTGAATGCCATCTGCCGCACCAATACAGATGAAAGCAATAGCTCCAGCTCTAACTGAAGACCATCCAGTTCCTCCATTGACACACCTTCATTATTTACCACTGTGGATGACACCATTGAATGATTTGGAGTGGAGTGCAAGAATATTGCAATCACTTTAATTCCTTATCTTTCCAAATAGTACGTATCTTAAAAACAAGCCAGGTTATCCCTATGCAGTATATACAATATAAAGAGGGATGACAATTATTTAAGCTACTACAAATTCTTAAAAATGCTGCAATGTTACAAGAATAAGGGTATTCAGTAATTCAATATAAAATTTGAATAAAAGATACACTAAGACTGAAGTTAGGTACCTGAATTGATACAAAACATGCCTTTCTAGTAATAAATAAGTTGGAGACAGGGAGCCTCTGGAATCTTCAGGCAAAGAGTTCCAGATTTTAGGCCCTTTTATACACACTGAGTTTTTACACAGGTTGAGTTGGGCACAGGGAATATCAGAGGCTTTTGTATCTAGTATTATGCCTATGAGTTCTCTTGCTGCTATAAAGAAACTATTACAAAAAGTAACCAATCTACTTCCTAGTGGAATATACAGTATTTTATTTAACTATGTCAAACATACAACTGCTTTATTCTAGTTTTACAAACCTCTATTCTGAGCCTATATAATGGTTGCAATAAGCAAAATATAATTACATCCTCTCCTCACTTAGTGACAACTCAGACTTACGATGGGCTCTCTGGCCAGTATACATACCTAAATAATGTATATTAAGAGCTGATTTCATCTATTCTGTTTATTACAATGTACAGTACACTACTGCATAAACATTTAAAAATCCGTATACATACCAGAAGTGTTATAAATGGTGCTAAGTGTCATTAAAACAATATCAAACATGGTTGACACAAACCCACTACCATTATAGTATGCTCCTCACTTAGCAACAAATTCACTTATCAATGTGGTCTTAGGAACGGAACTCTGTCGTTAAGTGAGGAGAGGCTATATATGCATACAGTGGTACTGTACTACTGCTATTTTGAAGATTTAACTTAGGATAACCCAACAAAGTAAAATTCAGTAATGTACTTACATGCTGTGTAACGAGGGAGTGATCGAGCATGGTCCAGGGAACCAACAACAGGAAGACCAAGGGGACAGTCTTTAAGATCCATGGGGTCATCTCGTTTACTACTACTACTGTTGCTACTGCTGCTACTGCTACTACATCCATTATTCCCACTGCTTCCACTGCTGCTGCCACTACCTGAACGTTCCTTGTCTTTGTGACGGAATAATTTACCAGATGATTTGTGAACACTTTTAGATTTATTTGGGGAGGGGGCATCATTCCTGAAATTAATAAAAATGGTAGAATTACTAACAAAATGTTAGGTAAAAGGATACAGATGCAACTAATGTGACATTTTGTTGTGGCAGTGTTTTGCTCTTTAGGAGCTTTCTCAAGGTCAAGCATACAAAGCTCCTGGAGCAAAATGTTGCCACAATAAAATGTCACATTAGCTGAATCCATGTCCTTTTACCTAAGATTCCCAAAATTAGTTATAAAGGAATTACTTATACTGTAGAGTTTTAATGTAATACATATTTACTTAATTAAAAATACTCGATATCTGTAAGAGTATGCAATGTTTATCTACCCAATAAATTATAATTATTAATCAACGACAAATAATGACTTACGTGTTTGCCTTATAAAATGATAGTGGAAACCTAATCCCACCTTCCACATTAAAACGCTTGTAATTAGATTAGATTTTTCCACCAAAGTGGCTAGTGTATTGTGCACCCTGTATCCATCCTGTGGACGGTAGCGCAAGAGCATATGGATACACAAAAGGCCTAGGAACTAGGCCCCAAAAGGTTAACAGGAGTACATCTGGATTTATATCTACAGTTCACTTATCTGTTACAAACAAATTTAGGAAATTTGCTTAATACAGTGGACCCCCGGTTAACGATTTTAATCCGTGCAAGAGGGGTAATTGTTATGCGAAATAATCGCTATGTGAATGAATTTTCCCCATAAGAAATAATGGAAATCAAATTAATACGTGCAAGACACCCAAAAGTATGAAAAAAAAAATTTTACCACATGAAATATACATTTTCCCACACACAAAGAGAAGGATACATGCACAATAGTAGAGTAGTACATGCACAGTATATATTGTGCATGTACTAGTCTACTAAATGAAGAATAAATGACACTTACCTTTATTGAAGATGCAGCAATGACTGATGAGACACTGTGTCCTGGGAGTGCCTTTTCCTCCTGAGTACTGTAGGTCCTGTTTGGCATTTTCTTCCAGAACAGGCCTTATCACACTGTGTATGCCACTACGATTCTTAAATCTCTCAAACCAACCTTTGCTGGCTTTAAATTCACCAATATGAGCACTAGTTCCAGGCATTTTTCCCTGCACCTGGGTGTTAGTCGACTTGTGTGGGTTGCATCCTGGGAGACAAGATTAAGGACCCCAATGGAAATAAGTTAGACAGTCTTCGATGACACTGACTTTTTTTTGGGGTTTTCCTGGGTGGCAAATCCTCTGGGGTTAATTGTTTCTTGGTATTCTCAATAAGCCACACCAACAACGGTGCTACAGCAGCAGCAGCAGCTGACAGTGCAGCAGCAGCAGCAGCTGACAGTGCAGCAGCAGCAGCAGCTGTACCACCAATAGTAGCGATGGTTGATTGGGTTTATTATACAACCTGGCCAGCTTGGAGACATGCACTCCACTTTCATACTTATCAATGATCTTTTTCTTCATCTCTATTGTAATTCTCACCCTTATTGCTGTAGGGTTGGCACTAGAAGCTTTCTTGGGGCCCATGGTCACTTATTTTCCAGAAAAGCACCGAAAACACTGTAATAATACGAAATATTCCGATTGTATGCTTGGATGTTACCGCGGAGGCTGGCTGGTAAACAATGCCACCGGCGGAACATGTGAGCGTGGCTCAGGCCGCACATTGGACGCGTCTCGGACGAAAATCGGTAAGCGGGTTTTTAAGCGGTATGTGAGGCAAAATTTTTGCAATTAAAGTAAGCGGTATGCGAAATAATCGCTATGTGATGCCATCGTTATGCGGGGGTCCACTGTATATCTGGTACAGTGGACCCCCGCATAACGATCACCTCCCAATGCGACCAATTATGTAAGTGTATTTATGTAAGTGCGTTTGTACGTGTATGTTTGGGGGTCCGAAATGGGCTAATCTACTTCTCAATATTCCTTATGGGAACAAATTCGGTCAGTACTGGCACCTGAACATACTTCTGGAATGAAAAAATATCGTTAACCGGGGGTTCACTGTATCTTATTTTCATTAATAAGATATCCTGACATGTTACATAGGCTATTATACTGTCTATCCCTATATTCCTCAATAAGCACATAGTGTTCAAGATAGTGACCACAGGGCTGGCCACATGCATACTTTGCATTTGGTTTGATCATCATCTGTGTATTCATAGAAGCACTTACGAATGGCCTTTTATTGTACAGTATCAATTTCAAGAGTGTAGCATTTTGTGAGAGGACAGATGTATGTGTGCATGGTATTTGCAAGTTGTGTGTACAGTATATTATATATAGATAAAGATAGAAATGTTAAAAGCAGGTGGGGATGTAGTTTTGGAGTGGTTGGTGCAATTATTTAATAAATGTATGGAAGAGGGTGAGGTACCTAGGGATTGGCAGAGAGCATGCATAGTTCCTTTGTATAAAGGCAAAGGGGACAAAAGAGAGTGCAAAAATTATAGGGGGATAAGTCTGTTGAGTATACCTGGTAAAGTGTATGGTAGAGTTATTATTGAAAGAATTAAGAGTAAGACGGAGAATAGGATAGCAGATGAACAAGGAGGCTTTAGGAAAGGTGTAGGGGTGTGTGGACCAGGTGTTTACAGTGAAACATGTAAGTGAACAGTATTTAGATAAGGCTAAAGAGGTCTTTGTGGCATTTATGGATTTGGAAAAGGCGTATGACAGGGTGGATAGGGGGGTAATGTGGCAGATGTTGCAGGTGTATGGTGTAGGGGGTAGGTTACTGAAAGCAGTGAAGAGTTTTTACGAGGATAGTGAGGCTCAAGCTAAAGTATGTAGGAAAGAGGGAAATTATTTCCCAGTAAAAGTAGGCCTTAGACAAGGATGTGTGATGTCACTGTGGTTGTTTAATATATTTATAGATGGGGTTGTAAGAGAAGTAAATGCGAGGGTCTTGGCAAGAGGCATGGAGTTAAAAGATAAAGAATCACACATAAAGTGGGAGTTGTCACAGTTGCTCTTTGCTGATGACACTGTGCTCTTGGGAGATTCTGAAGAGAAGTTGCAGAGATTGGTGAATGAATTTGGTAGGGTGTGCAAAAGAAGAAAATTAAAAGTGAATACAGGAAAGAGTAAGGTTATGAGGATAACAAAAAGATTAGGTGATGAAAGATTGGATATCAGACTGGAGGGAGAGTATGGAGGAGGTGAATATATTCAGATATTTGGGAGTGGACGTGTCAGCGGATGGGTCTATGAAAGATGAGGTGAATCATAGAATTGATGAGGGGAAAAGGGTGAGTGGTGCACTTAGGAGTATGTGGAGACAAAGAACTTTGCCCTTGGAGGCAAAGAGGGGAATGTATAAGAGTATAGTTTTACCAACGCTCTTATATGGGTGTGAAGCATGGGTGATGAATGTTGCAGCGAGGAGAAGGCTGGAGGCAGTGGAGATGTCATGTCTGAGGGCAATGTGTGGTGTGAATATAATGCAGAGAATTCGTAGTTTGGAAGTTAGGAGGAGGTGCGGGATTACCAAAACTGTTGTCCAGAGGGCTGAGGAAGGGTTGTTGAGGTGGTTCGGACATGTAGAGAGAATGGAGCGAAACAGAGTGACTTCAAGAGTGTATCAGTCTGTAGTGGAAGGAAAGCGGGGTAGGGGTCAGCCTAGGAAAGGTTGGAGGGAGTGGGTAAAGGAGGTTTTGTGTGTGAGGGGCTTGGACTTCCAGCAGGCATGCGTGAGCGTGTTTGATAGGAGTGAATGGAGACAAATGGTTTTTAATACTTGACGTGCTGTTGGAGTGTGAGCAAAGTAACATTTATGAAGGGGTTCAGGGAAACCGGCAGGCCGGACTTGAGTCCTGGAGATGGGAAGTACAGTGACTGCACTCTGAAGGAGGGGTGTTAATGTTGCAGTTTAAAAACTGTAGTGTAAAGCACCCTTCTGGCAAGACAGTGATGGAGTGAATGATGGTGAAAGTTTTTCTTTTTCGGGCCACCCTGCCTTGGTGGGAATCGGCCAGTGTGATAATAAAATAATAATGTGTGAACATGTCATACATTATGTATAAGATGTGTACGTGTGATAAATCATGTACAAGACGTTTGTGTGGTATGCTCTGTATAAAATGTTTTTGTGTAGTATGCTATGTGTAATAATGTTGGTAGAATTACCAACAATATGTAAAGCAAAAGGACACAAGTGCAACTAATGTGACATTTTATTGTGGCAATGTTTTGCTCTCCAGAAGTCTTAGCAAGAATCCTCCTGAAAACAGTAAATCCTGCCATCACATAGTCTCTCCTGTTAATACTACACAAGAACATTACAGAGAATGAACATTGAAACAGGCCTTCTCTATCCAGCCCCCAATAGAAATATTTGTCTAACCAAATTTTTATGTTTCCCAAATAATAGCCTTTATATCGTTTACTCTTGTGCAAGTTAATTGTTCAACATATTGTATTACTTCTACTACTACTACTACTACTACTACTACCACTAGTATTGCACCTCACTCTGAGCCTATATATACCCTCTGTGTCCATGTACGGTTAGTAACGGTTTGTAACGGCTAGCCAATACTGTAAATACCGAATTACAGAATATATCTACCTGGATGAGGACTAACAAACTTACACTAAACATTGACAAAACCTACTTCATTCAGTTTGGTAACAGAGCTACAGATGTCCCTCTTAACATAGCGATAAACGGATCACCTATCACAAAGCTAACAGAGGGAAAATTCTTAGGAATCCACCTTGATAATAGACTCAAATTTCATACACATATACAACAAATTTCTAAGAAAATTTCCAAGACTGTAGGTATACTATCGAAGATACGGTACTATGCTCCACAGTCAGCCCTCCTGGCCCTATACCACTCTCTAATTTACCCCTATCTCACCTATGGAATTTGTGCATGGGGCTCCAACAACAATTAACCATCTCAGACCACTAATTACCAACAAAAGGCTGCAGTTAGAATGATAACAAATTCTCACTACAGGCAGCACACTCCACCAATATTCAAAACACTCAACCTACTCACCATACAAAACATCCATACTTATTATTGCACCTATTACATACAT